TTAGTATGCTCCTTGCACCAACACCTTATTGGCTGCTTGTGCTGCTTCACCTTGCCCCAGTCTGAGCTCTGCTGTACAGAGAATGACACCATGAAGGCTCATGAAGAAATGATGGTGATAATACAGGATATGTTTCAGAGCTGCACCAGCTTGAGATGACTTTATTTGTTACTTAGTCACCAACCCCACATATAGGAATTGCCCAGAACATTGGATTTTGTGATTCAGCCTGAGTGTGCAGTTGCTGTGTCTGTGTCAAATACTTTGTGAATATAACCAGCTCATATGTAATGTGTGTTTGCCTGCAGGAAGACTTGTATTGCAGCTTCCTTCCTGTGCTGGTGACACCGTCTGCCCAGCAGGTCCCATCTCTGTAGTGCTGGTGACACCTTGTGCCCACCAGGTCCCATCTCTGTAGTGCTGGTGACACCTTCTGCCCAGCAGGTCCCATCTCTGTAGTGCTGGTGACACCTTGTGCCCACCAGGTCCCATCTCTGTAGTACTGGTGACATCTGCCCACCAGGTCCCATCTCTGTAGTGCTGGTGACACCTTGTGCCCACCAGGTCCCATCTCTGTAGTGCTGGTGACACCTTGTGCCCACCAGGTCCCATCTCTGTAGTACTGGTGACATCTGCCCACCAGGTCCCATCTCTGTAGTGCTGGTGACACCTTCTGCCCACCGGGTCCCATCTCTGTAGTTCTGGTGACATCTTCTGCCCACCAGGTCCCATCTCTGTAGTGCTGGTGACACCTTCTGCCCACCAGGTCCCATCTGTGTAGTGCTGGTGACACCTTCTGCCCACCAGGTCCCATCTGTGTAGTGCTGGTGACACCTTCTGCCCACCGGGTCCCATCTCTGTAGTGCTGGTGACACCTTCTGCCCACCGGGTCCCATCTCTGTAGTGCTGGTGACACCTTCTGCCCACCGGGTCCCATCTCTGTAGTGCTGGTGACACCTTCTGCCCAGCAGGTCCCATCTCTGTAGTGCTGGTGACACCTTCTGCCCAGCAGGTCCCATCTCTGTAGTGCTGGTGACACCTTCTGCCCACCAGGTCCCATCTCTGTATTGCTGGTGACATGAAAGTCCCTGTGCCAGCCTGTGCTCTTTAACCCACCCTTGTCTGAGCTGCCAGCCTTTGCCCGTCTGTTTCCTGTGTGTGTTTTTGCTATGGCTGTGGTATGTATAACATGCCTGGGCACTGCCCCCATCTCCTCGCCCTCCCCCTCCCCCTATCTCCAGGATTCAGTGGGAGCTCAGAGATTCCTTTTAAGGCAAAGACTCATCCGTGAGAAGGAGAGAATCGGGAAGCCAGGCTGGCAAGGGTTCGGCTCATTTAACCCTGTTCATGACTCTCCGGCATACTGAGAAGATGGCAAACTTGAGAAGTCTACGGAAGAGTTCATTCCCTGCCATGCTTTTTTGATTGCATCATGCCTGCCCCCACCCCCGCCATTCAACTTTAGATACAGGATTATCCTAACAACCTGGAGGAGCTATAACATTCAGTAACCCCAAGCAAGAAGTCACATTTCACCTTGCAGCATGTTAGAACAGTAAAAAGCAGCTAAAGACAATTGCTGGTTGCTGCAGTTGGGGATGTAAGGAGGTTCAGGACCACCAGTGTAAGGAGCCGCAGGTACATGCAGACGCCTCGTACTTCTTGTCATTAGCTGCTTATGATACATTGAAACGCTTCGGTTAGTGACAGGTCCTTTGTAATGGAAAATCAACCTATTGTTTTTAAATAGAAGAGTGGTTGAAATACTGAAGTATAACCCGTTAGTCCTCATGCACACTGGACCCTTTTACAGCTGCTATTTTTGGATTCTGGCATTTTTTTCTACAGCCAGTAATCCCCCCCCCCAGCATGTTATCCTATGTGTCCATGCACACATAGGCTTTAATCAGCGTTTTTTAGCTGGGGCATTTTCTGGCTGGAAAAAACCCAGGACTAGTCGGTTCCAAGAGGAGTTTTTTTTTTTAGCTGTAAAAATGCTCTAACGCTGATAAAAGCTGAAAAACACTAAAAAAAAAACACAGCTATCTGGCATTTATGAGCATTTTTGAGCGTGAACACTTTGTGGGAGTATAACTTTGCTAAAAACCGCTAATGTTGGAAAAACTCTAACAAGAAAAAAAAAAGCTGAATAAAGCTAATGCAAAAAAACCTAAGAAATGCAAAAAAAACCCCTCACATTTTTATTTCAGCATTCTACAGCTAAGGCTACTGGCGTTTTTATATCGTCCAGTGTGCATGAGACCTTAAGCCTGGGTTCACATATATGTAGTGCGGTATATCACATGTAATTCACACAGGAACCGCACCGCATTCCTGTACAAATCACATGTGATTTGTGTGCGGTGTGATTGGAGCCGTACATTTTGTATGGATCTAGTCGCACCGCACCCACACCAAAAACACGCAGGACCCTTTTTTGGTCCACACTAGAATTGGATCGCATGGGTATTCACACCTATGAGATCCGATTCTGCACATCGCACTGCGTTTTATGGACCGCTTTCAGGGTGTTGTTAACTTAACATACACACCCGCAGCGGTTCACGTGAATGGGGTGCGATTCTGATGCCGTGCAGAATGCGCATTGAAAACGCTGTGAATTCAGCACCGTATCAGTGTGAACCCAGCTAAAGTGGAACTTGAGGCAAGTATAAACAATACAAATGAATGCAGCTCTGGATTTATGAATACATCTTTGCATATATAGTGTTTAATGGAAGCAATGCACGTACCTTGATTCTGTTTATCAGCCTCACATAGTCCACCACACAGCAGAGCTCAGACTGAGGAGGGAGAAGCAGCACAAGGAGCCAATCCGTGTGCTTGCAAAGGACAGACCCAAAAACCTGGACTTTTTAGATACTTAGCAAGAGACAACCTCTATGGCCATATTAGTTTGTTTTCATGGAGTACTTCTATAAACATAGTCTTCATCAGAGTTGTCTTCATTGTACAGCATACAGAGTTCCAACTGGGGGGGGAAGCAGCAGCACAAGGCACAAATGTCCTGAGGTTCTGATAGAAGGAGAGAGCAGATTGGCAGAAATGAGCTCTTCAGTCTGCTGCTTCTCCTTTCACTATCCAGAGACAGGCAGGGGGTGTAGAGGAGACCTGTGAGTGTTACTGGACTGCAGCAGAAACAAATCCGGTCTCCTGCTCTGCCAGACAGGGCTGTGCTGTGTGTCAGAGATGTGTAAATATCAGGTCTAGGAAGGACAGAATTACAAATACTGTTCAGGTACAACAGATCCTGTTCATCATTATCATTATACAGGATTTATATGGCGCCAACAGTTTGCTCAGCGCTTTACAATATAACGGGAGACAATACAGCAACAATACAGTTCAATACAAGAGGGATAGGAGGGCCTGATCCTAGGAGCTTACAATCTAGGAGATATATTTCATCTGCGTATTTTGCTGTTTGCCTGGCATTCAGCTTTAATACATTTCTGATTTTCCTTGCAATGGCAGTTAAATTGCGCATTTCCAGACATTTGTTATTATAACTACCTCTGTATTGGGAGAAACCTGGGGCTGCTGTTGCTGCTAGTTGCCTGACTCTCTGGCTGTAGTACTTTTAGTCTGAATACTTGTCCATGGTCATTAACACAGTTTGGCAGAGAATCAGCACAGCAGCCAGGTAACTAGCATTTTAATAAGGAGAGGGCAACAATGGCACAATGTGTTTACTGGGTTTCTTTGAGAAAGAAAACAAAACAAATGTCTGTGTTCGACCCTTTCCAATACAACATAGTGGGCATGGAGCAGGAGCACCTGATGCTTCATGGCTTTTTTTATTTGTTTTTTTTTTTCCTGGTTTATACCAACTGAGCAGTCTGAGTGTGGCCACACACAAGTGCTATTTAATTTATTCTTTGTGTGTGCCTTTCAGTATGTTAGAATGTCAGCTACAACATGAAAAACCCCGTGTAAAAATAGTGGGTGCAATGAAATCATTCAGAACTAAATGTTCTTGGGTGCCCGCTGTTGTAGCTGGAATGCATTGAGTCCCTGTTCACACCCGAGCAACACTGGCATGTTGTGTTTTAGTGTGTTGTTTTTGGAGCAGCACCATTCATTTGAATCGGCCTCCCTCCACTCCAGAAATATAATAAGCTTGTCTACCAAATTCTTGCACTGAGACCAGCATGTTTTGTAACAGGCATTGTTGCATGTTTTTCAGATGGAAAATTTAGCATCAAAATGTGTGATTGTTAACCACATTTGGGGTGCCATTAAAGCGGAGTTCCACTCAAAAAGGGAAGCGGAGTTCCACTCAAAAAGGGAAGTTTAAAGATTGGTCCCCCGCTCCACATTAAGGATTGGCACCTTTTGGGGAGCGGGGGAGAAGCAGGTACCTGAATTTGACAGGTACTCCCCACTTCTGCTGTGATCGCCTAGGCAATTGGAAGCGGAAGTTGTCCTCCTACCCTCCCTCCCTGAAGTCTTGTGGAACACATAATAGATCCCAGAAGACTACGGTGCCATTCAGGAAGCACAGCGCTACTCACGCATGCGCAGTAGGCACCCGGCTGTGATGCTGCAACCTGTCACAGCTGGGTGCCCACACTGAAAATGCTGGCGCCTGAAATACAGGACGGCCGGTGAAACGGGCTGCGGCGGGGGCAACGCGGGATTGTGGGACAGGTAAATGGCTGTTTTTTAAAAGTCAGCAGCTACAGTTTTTGTAGCTGCTGACTTTTATATTTTTACAGAGTGAGTGGAACTCCGCTTTATATTATAAATATAAAGGAAAAAAATGTTATGTATTTCCCCCGATTGATAACCTTGCATTAAAGTGGGACTTTTTATATTCTAGAAAACCAAACATGTCTTTGATAAAATGACATTATTCAAGAGGTTGACGACTGTTGAATTTACAGTTTGAAAAAAAGCAGAATATTCTTCTGTTAGAAGGGGTTAATGTTACCTCTAGTTAGTAAAATGGTTAACCTGTTTTTTGTCTTTCCCACAGAAAATCAAAGGCTAAGCCAAATGGTAAGAAACCAGCCTCCGAAGAGAAGAAGTTGTACCTGGAGCCCGAGTACACCCGTGTCCGCGTCACAGACTTTGAATTTAAGCAACTAGTGGCATTACCGCAAGAGATCGACCTCAACGAGTGGATGGCCAGCAACAGTAGGTTTCATTTTCATAAGAAGGGTTGTGTGCGTGTATGAAGAAATAACACACAGAGGCCGATCAGATAGTGGGACAGTCCCATAGAGAAGCACTGTGGGAAACTGGAGAATTGCCAGCTAGATTTTAGTGTGAAAAAGCAAGAAAAATAATAAGCAATAAGATTGGTTTCCTTAACCACTTGCCCTCCTAAGGATTTACCTCTCTTCCTGACCAGGCCATTTTTTGCATTACGGCGCTGCGTTACTTTAACTGACGATGAAATTAAATTTATGTACTTTTTTTTTCCTCACTAATCTTTCTTTTGGTGGTATTTGATCGCCTGTGTGTTTTTTAAATTTTTTACGCTATAAAAAAAAAAGACCGACAGTTTTGAGAAAGCAAAAAGTTAAAAATATTGTTTTTCTATTAACCCCTTGGTGCCGGCGCCTCCTGGCCCTTTAAGGGTTTCAGAGGCTGGGAGGCGGGGCGAGGTTTAGAGTCATATGACTGCCATGACACTTCGTCACGGCAGTCACATGATCGGGAAAGGTCCCGACTGAAAGAGGAGATCGGTACCTTTCCGCGAGTACTGGACATGTGTGCTGGGTTCACATGCGCTCTCAGCACATATCTTTTTTTAATAGAATGCAAATGTGCAGCCACTCGGCGTTTAGGCACAAGACGCTGGGAAGCCGTACATTTGTGTTCGGCTGGCGCCAAGAGGTTAAACATGTCCAGTTAAAAAAAATTTAAAAATCAAATTTCATCATAAGTTTAGGCCAAAATGTATTCTGCGACATGTCTTTGCTAAAAAAAAAAAAAAAAAATCCCAATACGTTTAAATTAATTGGTTTACGTGAAAGTTATAGCGTTTACAAATGGCGGTATATATGCTGGGATTTTTTTTTAAATGATTTTTACCCCTACCTGGAAATGCAAAATCACATATATATATACATGAATTTGTGCACCCGTGCTGCCCTGTAGCAGTATATTTGCTGTAGGGCGGTCATTCTCATAAATACCCACAGTAGAGCAGTAGTAGCTTCTGACTTTTAATATAGGGACCCTTACATGTCCAGGTGTCCGGCCGATTTCCTTAATTGGCTTTGGGTGCAGGCGCCAACATATTAGCTAAGGGAAACCGGCAGTGAAGCCTTCTGGCTGCACAGCCGGTTTCCTACTGCGCATGCATAAGCGGCGCTGCACTTTGTGATTGGTCCCACAGTCTTCTGGGACCTGTGATGTGCTCCAGAAGGCTGCGGGGGGAAGAAGGAGGGGCCGGAGATCGCCTGCTGCTCCCCAAAAAGTGTCTGGCAGTGGAGGGAGGATGCCAACAAGCAGAACTTTCTCTTTTGGGTGGAGTTCCGCTTTAAACAAGGGTTCACAAAGCCTATTTCTAAATGTAGATTATATAATGTTGTTCTTGTCTGTTTTCAGTTTATAATGTAGCTGTTTTTCCCTTTCAGTTACCACTTTCTTTAACCACATCAACCTTCAGTACAGCACCATCTCAGAGTTCTGCACAGGGGAGACTTGCCAGACTATGGCTGCCTGCAACACGTAAGTTTCAGCAATACAGATGGGATGGCTGCCCGCCTTAGGGGCTCTTTACTGCTCTTTATGTTCTTTTCACCAGCAGGCTATGGCAGTACTAGACCACACCGTACATACTCCTCAGCTGGACTGATCGCAATGATCTATAGTGCCCAGATAGGAGCCCAACTTTACTATTTTGTGCTTGGCTTCTCCATATGTCACATGCAGTCCTATGCCCGCAGAGACTGTCACATGACTGCACTAGTTACTGTCACTTCTCAAAATACTATATGCTTCTGTGACTGTTGTGATTGCACATTGAAAATGTTCTTATGAGCTGGAGAGTAAACTAGCAGAAGACAATCAGGGCTTACTGAATGCTGGCAGTAGTTACACTGAAATTTATAAAACTAAGCGGGGTGATTGATGCAAGCATACTAATTTGTAAATGCAACTTATTCCTCATTACAGACAGTACTACTGGTATGACGAGCGGGGGAAGAAGATAAAATGTACAGCCCCTCAGTATATTGACTTTGTTATGAGTTCTGTACAGAAATTGGTGACAGACGAGGATGTCTTCCCCACCAAATACGGTGAGTGATTACACAGGAGGTGAAATATGGTGTGAAGCCAATGATGGTCAGTTCTAAGTAAGAAACGCAAACACAATTCCCATAAATACATATAGATATGTTGTGCTACAGTGTGCATTTGCTAACAAGGAGCTTCCTGGTAGGAGGAGAGAATAGAGTAACAGTGAGAGGAGTTCCTATATCTGCTACTTCTCCTTTCACTGTCCAGTCTGGAGGAGGGACAGGCCCTAAAATGTCTTACTTAACTGCTGCAGATAAAATTAGGCCCCTTTCCTGCAAGGCACTACTGTACTGTGGGATGAGCTGTGTGCATTTTAAAACTGGGTGGACAAAAATGCAAACCCTTTAGCAGGCAAAGCCACTCCCATATATGTATTCAATCTCCCGTATTTGGCTGCTTTCCTGGGGATTAATTTAAATCATTGTTTCACCTTATTTATAAGTGCTTTATAGTAAGAATACCATACTGTAGGCTCCTTTGGGGTTGGCCATAAAGGATTATTGTTCAATTTTTCTGCAAAGGACTGTAGAATATGTACATATATATAGTCTCTAGAAAGAGAGACAATACTGCTACCTTTTGATTAAAGATGAATTCCAGGTATGGTATATTTTTACATAGGTCAAGCTGAGCGGCTGACCACCTCTGTTCACAATACAGCAGGCTCGGCCACTCAACACCTGAAGTAGTGGTGTCCACTATAGTGGTTTCCAGATTCCAGGGCTTCTGCCAGGTATGGCATATACCAAGCTGTACATAGCTGTAACTATGTAAAAATATGCCATGCTTGGAATTATTCTTTAAAGCTGAACTCCAGGAATCCAGCCACTTTTATAATGGTGCAGACACACTGAATTAAGTCCAACAAGATGCATATCACCTCATGGACTCATTTCTTTCATTTAGATCAGACAATTTTATGGCGCTCCCAGAGGATTCACTCTGGGGCTCTAAGAGGAGAGATGCTGTGTTCTCATACACAGTATCTCTGCCAACCCCCCTCTCTTGTCCATTCACAGAAGCCTTTGTATTATGTGAACTAATTCACAAACTGCAAAGTCTTCTGTGAATGGACAGCAGAGGGGAGAGGTGGGCACAACAGCTGCATGCAACTCTGCTGCTGAAGGAAACCGGGCACAAATGCCTAGTGCATTATCGTTTGCATTTTATTGATAGAGCAAATAAAAATATATACAGTGCTCAGCATTTTTTACTTGCAAAAATGTGCATTTATTATTTTTGGTCAAAAGGTGAACTATAAAAATGCTGAAGTGCAGAGCTAATATGTGATTGTTTGTGTTTGCATCATGGTGTTGGTTTCCAGTACTTTCTCCATTTTGTTTCACAGTGTGTCTTTCTGTTTATTCTGCAGGCAGGGAATTTCCAAGCTCTTTTGATGTCTTGGTGAAAAAGATCTGCAGATACCTATTTCATGTTGTTGCCCACATTTATTCAGCTCATTTCAAAGAGATCGTCGCCATGGAGCTACATGGACATTTAAACTCTCTGTTTATTCATTTCCTCCTGTTTGTGCGGGAGTTTAATCTACTGGACCCCAAGGAGACCGCCATCCTGGACGACCTGTCTGAAATGCTCTTCTCGGAGGACAGCAGGGAGGCAGCAGGGGCCACAGGAGGGGCACAGAACCATGTGAAGGAGAGATGAGTTCTCCACCACAATGTCCCGCTTCCTTTCCTTCCACTGCCCCCTCCCAGCGTGCCCTAACCCCTATAAAGAGCTGGCTAAGCTCCCAGCTCAAAGCACAGGGGAAACGGGGTTATAGGAATTGCGCTGCCAGTTTTGGAGGTGGGGGAGGGCCCTGCCTGCATTACCCCAGCCTGAAGGGGAGCAGACCTCGCTCTTATCTTTAGCAGGACGTTGCACCGAGTATCACCTTATTTTTATTTGTGTCTTGAGGTTTTTTTTTTTTTTCGTTTTTTTTTCTTCTCCCCTTTTTCTTTTATGACCCCCCTTTCTTTTCTTTTCCACTCCTTTTTTCTTTTCCTTCTTTTTCTGACTCCTCCCTTTTTCTTTTTATGGGTGGCACTGCCGTTACTGGCTTAATTCTATTATCCTAATGAGAATATTTGCGTTTTTATTTTATTTTGCCGTGGCTTTGGAGGAATGTTTGAAGCACCTCAGTGGGTGGGGGGTGAGACCTGGGTGGGATGGACTGCCAGAATGGAGAAGAGGTCACATGTCATCCCTTGCTCTGGAATGGATTGAGACTCCTGTGTCACCACCCAATATGGTCATCGGCTTCCCCCCCCCTCACTCTTTTGGAGGAATGCTGGGTGCTCACCCCTAAATGGGGTGGAATAATAATGTTGGCTTCTTTTAGTTTATCTGTTAAATAATGATGATAATAATATTAATAATAAAACAGATTCTATCAGCTTGTGGAGTTGCTTCTGTTTTGTATGGAAACAGAAATGTGCCTTTGGACTCCCTGAAAGAACAAATGGTGTTTGATTGGTCTTTAGTCACCGCTACTATTGGCCATACGGAAGGTAACTGCCAGGCGATTTCCATCAGCTGCCGCCAACCGTTTCATTGTAGATTGGATTTATCTGCTCCGTGGTTTGTGTATTGGTTGGACGTGTGTGTGTGTGTACAAGCCTTGGAGTGTTTGACTTTGAAGGGAGCCTGTCATATTTTGCCCATACAGGGCAAGTGTTTGTTTAAACCCCAATACAATTATACTCCTCTACAACTTCCTCCCATCTGCTGCGCCCTCCACAGCTGGCACCGAAAATCTGAGGTGTCACCTGGTGTTGAAGGCTAAGAGGAGTCATGACCTTATCTTCGCAGTCATGTGACCGAACGATTGGCTGCTAGAACAAAACACTGGTACGGGAGAGGAGGTCACATGTGGGGGGACACTGAATATGGTCACTGGCTGTGATGGTGACAGGAGCAATGGGGGAGGGCCCTTTACAAACACACTCTCACTTTGCTCTCAGTGACAGTATTGCTTTCAAATAAGATCAGAGTATGATTTCTGAGTTTATTGTGTCACTAAACATAGTTCTAGATTAACACCTTCCTGCCCAGCCCATAGCAGATTGATGGCCAGACGGGACACTCGCCACTGTGACTGGGCGTCATGTGACAGTCTGTCAAAATGAGTCAATCACGCGGCTGCAGCGCGATCTGTCACCGGCTGTGTCCACAGGACACAGCCGATGACATATCACTACACCGGCCACGACCAATCACAACATATCACATGTCAATTGTATACAATGGATGGCTTCATGCCGTCCATTGTATACAATTATGTTGTTAGCTGTGACTGTTCAAGGCAGTCACATGATACAGACAGCGCCAATCACAGCCCATCTGTATCATGTGATCAGCTTTGCCCAATCACAGCTAATCACAACAAAAGGCTGAATGAATCGGTTTCATGCAGTAACAGTGATTGCAAATATCAATTAAATATATTGGTATTAGCAATCATAATGTGTTAAAAAAAAAAAATCCTGATCACTTGTCCAGAGTAGTTCAATGCTACTATAGTATCATTGTAATGCTTTGGTCACAGTGCGCTGAAAATAAAATAGTAAAAATGAAAAAAATAATAGAAACATTTGTAAAAAAAAAATACAAATTCAATTATTATTATTTTCACCAAAGAAATGTAGCAGAACACATTTTGACCTAAATTTATGAAGAAATGTTATTTATTTGCAAAATTTTATAACAGAAACGAAGAATAGTGCGGTTTTTTTTTGTTTTTTCTTTTCAAAAGTTTAACCACCTTCTGCCCGCCCTATAGTACAATGACGGGCGCGAGGTGGTTCTCTCGTTCTGATAGGATGTCATATGACGTCCTACCATTCTCACTGCGCATGCTCGGCTCAGGGAGCATGCAGTGTGGCGATCGCCGGTGCACTGTGTCCCTCGGACACAGCGGATCACGGAAAGAGCCGAAGATGTCGACTCGGTCATGTGATCAGCTGTGTCCAATCACAGTTGATCACATGTAAACATGGAAATGCCGGTTATCTGCATTTCTCTCTTCTCGAGCTGTCACGCTGACAGCTCGACAGAGAGGAGAGCCGGTAATCGGCTTTCTGCGGAGGGGACATGTACACTGATCATCAGGGCACGGATGATCAGTGTGGCCCAAGATGTGCCACCTATCAGTGCCACGTACTAGTGCCACATCAATTCCACATATCAGTGCATACCAGTGCACATCAATGCCGCATATCAGTGCCCATCTGAGCTGCCTTTCAATGTCACCCATCAGTGCCACCTATCAGTGCCGCCAATCAGCGCCAGTCAGTGTCGCCTATCAATGCGCATTAGTGCCGCCTAACAGTGCCAGTCAGTGCTGCCTATCAGTCCCATATATCAGTGTCATGTATCAGTGCTGCCTTTCAGTGCCCATCAGTGATGCCTGTCAACGCCCATCAGTGCAAACTACCAATGCCTCCTAATCAGTGCTACCTGTCAGTGTCCATCAGTGCAGCCTATCCGTGCCCATCAGTGCAGCCTCATTAGCGCATATCAGTGAAGGAGAAAAATCACCTATTTATAAAATTGTATAACAAAAACTAAGAAAAAACTTTTTTTTCCAAAATTTTCAGTGGTTTTTGGTTTGTTTAAGAAAAAATAAAAATCCCAGAGGTGATTAAATACCACCAAAAGAAAGCTCTATCTGTCTCAAAAAAAACGATAAAAATTTCATATGGCTACAGTGTTGCATGACCGTGCAATTGTCATTCAAAGTGTGACAGCGCTGAAAGCTGGAAATTGGCCTGGGCAGGAAGGGGGTATAAGTGCCCTGTAGGCTTGTGGTTAAGGTGTTTATTGTTTAGCAAAAAAATAAAAACTTGATGGTGAATAAATACCACCAAAAGAAAGCTCTATTTGTGTAAAAAAAAATTATAAAAATTTCATATGGTTACAATGTTGCATGACCGCACAATTGTCATTCAAAGTGTGACAGAGCTGAAAATTGGCCTGGGCAGGAAGGGGGGTATAAGTGCCTGGCATTGAAGTGGTTGAGTCTTGGAGCAAATTCAGTGAGCATATTGGGAAAGTGAAACTCTGGTTTGTTAGGAACAGCAAAAATAAGTTTGCCAACGGGGGAGTTCTGCACTTTATTCCAAAAATTGTATGTAACAGGACACAGCCACCATACACCATGCAATGGAGGAAATGTACAGGTAGAACAACATACTTGAAGCATTTAGTTTGCCGGCTAATTTAAAATAGTCCGGTGTATATTACAGGCAATGGATCTATTTAAATTGTGTTGGGTTATATGCCGTTCTTAGAACATCTGCAAGCGGGAGTGATTCACTAAAAACTTAACAAGCTGATGCTAGAAGCTGATTGGTTGCACAGCTGCACCAGATTCTGTGAATACCAGTTTTAGTAAATCTCCCCCAAGTGTGTCTTCTACTTCATCCAAGATTTTGACGTCAGAGATGGCATATGGAGTATTTGCTGAAGGTAATTCGAAAGCAAAAGCATTCAGCTTGAAACTACTTTTTGCCAAGATTCTGAACTACATAGAACTGTCTTTAGGAAAATGCATTTGAATTCAGCAAATAAAGAACTAGACTGGGATTGTATCGCATGATTTAATAAAAGATATTTGAAGAATACTTAAACGCTTTTTTGTTTTAATTACGTGCTTAAATTGTGACCCACCAAAAAGGGTTCCTGAGGTTTATATACTTACATCATCAAGGCACATTCTAGATTAAAGTGTTACTAAACCCACAACATTATAATCCATATGTACAGTGGATATAAGAAGTCTACACACCCCTGTTAACATGTCAGGTTTCTGTGATGTAAAAAAAGAGACAAAGATAATAATTTCAGAACTTTTTCCACCTTTTAATGTAACCTATAAACTGCACAACTCAATTGAAACAAGCTGAAGTCTTTTAGGGGGAGGGAAAATAAAAATAAAAAACGAAAATAATATGGTTGCATAAGTGTTCACACCCTTAAACTAATACTTTGTTGAAGCACCTTATGTTTTTATTCCAGCACTGACTCACACCCAAAAGACTATCAGCATGGCACATCTTGACCTGGTAATATTTTCCCCTCTTCCTTGCAAAAAACATTCCAAATCTGTCATATTGCAAGGGCATCAGATTCAGGTCTGGGCTCTGGCTGGGCCATTCCAAAACTTTAATCTTCTTCTGGTGAAGCCATTCCTTTGTTGATTTGGATGTATGCTTTGGGTCGTTGTCATGCTGAAAGATGACGTTCCTCTTCATGTCAGCTTTCTAGCAGACGCCTGAAGGTTTTGAGCAATATTGACTGGTATTTGGAACTGTTCATAATTCCCTCTACCTTGAATAAGGCCCCAGTTCCAGCTGAAGAAAAACAGCCCCAAAGCATGACTCTGCCACCACCATGCTTCACTGTGGGTATGGTGTTCTTTCGGTGATATGCAGTGCGTGTTTTTGTGCCAAACATATCTTTTGGAATTATGGCCAAAAAGTTCAACCTTGGTTTCCTCAGACCACACACATTTTCCCACATGCTTTTGGGAGACTTCAGATGTGTTTTTGCAAAATTTACCGGGCTTTGATGTTTTTCTTCGAAAGAAAAGGCTTCCGTCTTGCTACTCTACCCCATAGCCCAGACATAAGAAGAATATGGGAGATTGTTGCCACACATACCACACAGCCAGTACTTGCCAGATATTCCTGCAGTCCTTAAAGTTTCTGTAGGCCTCTTGGCAGCCTCCAGACCAGTTTTCTTCTCGTCTTTTTATCAATTTTGGAGGGACTTCCAGTTCTTGGTAATGTCACTATTGCGCCATATTTTCTCCACTTGAATGACTGTCTTCAGTGTTCCATGGGTATATCTAATGCCTTGGAAATTCTTTGTACCCTTCTTCTGACTGATACCTTTTAACAATGAGATCCCTCTGATGCTCTGGAAGCTTCTGCGGGACCATGGCTTTTGCTGTAGGATGCGACTAAGAAAATGTCAGGAAAGACCTACTAGAACATCTGAACTTTATTTGGGGTTAATCAGAGGCACTTTAAATGATGGTCAGATGTGTACTGACTCTATTTACAGGATTTTGAAATGCGATTGCTTAATTCTGAACACAGCTACATCCTCAGTTATTATAAGATGTACCACACTTATTCAACCACATTATTTAGTTTTTTTTATGTTTACTTCCTCCCTGTAAAAGATTTCAGTTTGTTTTTCAGCTGAGTTGTACAGTTTATAGGTCACATTAAAGGTGGAAAAAGTTCTGAAATGATTTATCTGTCTAATTTTTTTTTTTTTACATCACAGAAACCTGACATGTTAACCTCCCTGGCGGTATTCCCGAGTGTAGCTCGGGGTAAAGTTTCAGTACCACCAAGCGGTAACCCCGAGCTACACTGTGCTTACTATGCGGTTCTACTCCGGGATCTGTTCTTCTCTTACCTTGTCCTGCGCTCCGCGATTGTCCCTCCTGCAGTGTCCCCCTGTATTGTCCTCGGCGGCTGCCTGTATCTGTCATCTGGGTTCCGTCCCCTGCGAGCGTCGGGGAGTATGGGGACGAAACAGCAGGAAATTTGAAACTGACAAAAAGTGACATTCACTAAATTCACATAGTAAAACATTACTGTATCAAACCATTTCACATACATTTTGTCCCGAGTGCTTTGTCCTGTGCCCTGCCTGCATTATTACTGTTCTTTCTTCTGCCTGGAAACTGAGAAATGTCCATGGCGTCCAAAAATTGTCCCTTTAGGGTCCAAAAGTGGTTTTCGACCGCTAGTGAAAACAGCGATAGTAAATCAGAACCACTTGCAGAATTGAGTGATAATGATTCGTGGGGAAATTCGTCATCAAGGACACTGAAAACGATTTTGCGACTTTGCTCAGTGATGTGCGAACTTGGCGCTATATTTAAAATTTCAGTGTTTTGGTTTGATTATATTCTTGAATTAAATTTATTATTTTTTTTATGATTTATTAAATTATAATTTATGATTTCGTGTTTCAAATTTTATCATACCCGGGATGTTTAGTAGACTCTTGTTCGGACAGATTTCAGTGAGTTATTCCTAAAAATTACAGCCTACAATAAAAAAAAATACATATTTCCATGCAAAAAAATGTACTGCTTTTCAGCACAGAAATATGGACATAATCAGACCGCTAGGGAGGTTAATAGGGGTGTGTAGACTTTTTATATCCACTGTATATGCAGTAAAGCATGCTTGTTATACTAACTGTGGAGCTTGAGGGGTTAATCCTCTGCATTGCGTTAAAAGGATGTTTGATCCTGTCTTCTCTATTCCTCCCCCTTCTTCCACCTTCCCCCATTTCATTTCCCTGATAGAACACTGCCTCAGGGACACTCTCTGCACATGCTCAGTTTGGTTTGTATTGCTAGAGAGTTTTTTTCTTTACTTGGGAGGGGTGCATGTGATCAGCACAGGACCAATCTGCACTGTCCAGACAGAGGGTCAGGGGTTATACAATCTCATAGCGCAGTGAGAGGAGAATGAAAAACTCCTACAAGATTAGCCAGTGCTCAGCTGGACACTGACTGAAGTCACAAGACTTCTGTATACTGCTGATGAGAAAAGGTATTTAGCAGTTTATATTTACTAAAATAATTGCTTTTCTGTGTACTGTGGTAGACCGGATATAGTGAATTCAGGGTCCTGGTTTAGTATCACTTAAGTTGTATGCACACTGGGCATTTAAGACCCAGTGTTATGAGAATCGGGTGTGTGCAGAAGGCACAGGTTGCACCATTCAACCCCATTGCCAGCAGCCTGTAAGAGTCTGAGAGACAACAAGCTGCTGTGACTGGATGGTACTTCTTACATTTAGAGCAGTGTGCACCCAGAGATGAATACTCAGAATGAAGTTTGCATGCCTGGGTACATACTGCTCTTAATGTAAGTAGCACTCTGTGCACTATCCAGCCATTGTTATGTTGCAGCCGGACACTACAGTTATTCAAAGTGGTTGTAAAGGCTGAATCTACTCGATCCAGCGATGTGCATGAGAGCAGCTGCTCTCCTGAGTTTCTCCCTCCTCATTGACTGAGACACAGCAGTGGGATTCAGTGGCTCCCACTGCTGTCAATCACATCCAGTGAGGAGGGAGCGGGGGGGGCAGGGCCGACCTGCACTCATCGGCACAGAGGTGGCTCGGGAGTGAGCACACACGTTGCAGAAAACATGTTGCTCTGAGGGCACTCAGCAGGTAGGATCCAGGAGCGCCAGTGGAGGACCAAAGAAGCTGAGGATCGGGGCTACTCTGTGCAAAACCAGGCCAGGTAAGTATGACATGTTTTGTCATTTTTATTTTTTTAAAACTGAACTATTAGTATCACTTTAAATTGGTGACAGTGTGAAAAAAAAAATAATATGTATTGTTTTTTTTATTATTTTAAATTTTTTTACATTTTTTTTTTTAAGATTTTTTTTCATATTTCACTATGACCAAAGTAGTACAATGTTTACCATAGTAACATTTTACTACTTTGGGAAGTGAATCATTATTTTTGCTATAAGCAAGCATTTTACCTGAAATGACATCGATTCATTCAAGGTTTTTTTTTTTTTTTGGTGCTTAGCTGTGATTTGGCACAGCTAATCACATGACATGTGCATGTGATTAGGCTGTGACCAATTCACAGCTAGACACTATTATAACAATGGATGGCATGAATGAAGCCCATCCATTGTATACAACTGTCATGGATAGACTGCTGCTGTGGATTGTCTCACAGCAGTCACATGGTACCAAGCAACGGGGGTCGGTAAACTCAGATCTGTCATCGGCCGTGTCCGAGGTACACGGCCTGGTGAAAGATTATCGTGCCGCTGCGCAGCGCTCTGCAAGCGCGCCAACTGCGCATCGTGCGGAGAGGAGCGCCATATGGCAGCCTCTCGGAAAGGTAAGCTAGTACACTTTTTCCCGAAACGCCATTCGGGTCCAATAAGCAGGCGTCAAATGATTAAGTACCACCGAAAGAAAGCTCTATGTGTCTCAAAAAAAAGAGAAAAATTTCATATGGTACAGTGTTGCATGACCACACAATTGTCATTCATAATGTGACAGCACTGAAAGCTGAAAACTGGCCTTGGCAGGAAGGGGTATAATGCTCTGTAGAGCAAGTGGTTAAAACCCAGCTGAGAGACATCCATATACATGTTGTGTTCAAAATAATAGCAGTCAGACATCACTAACCTGATCAATCACTGTTTTTTGGTAGAAGATGATATTTCTACATGGCAAATAATGGACTAGCAGGTGAGTAAGAGTAATAGAAATCCAACAGACCCAACAGTCATGACATGCATACTGCTGATTCTGTGTAATTGAATCACTAATTGAAAGAGGCATGTTCAAAATAATAGCAAGTGTGGAGTTTCTATTAGTGAGGTCATTCATTCTTTGAAAAACAGGTGGCAATTTTATTGCCCTTATTTAAGGAAGAAGGCAGCAAATGTTGTACATGCTGGTTACAGTGCATTTCTTTCTGAAATTCTGAGGAAATGGGTCGTTCCAGACATTGTTCAAAGAACAGCGTATCTTGATTAAAAAGTTGTATTGAGAGGGAAAAACATACAAAGAAGTGCAGAAAATATGATAGGCTGCTCAGCTAAGAATGATCGCAAATGCTTTAAAATGGCAAACAAAACCTGAAAGACGTGAAAAAAGGTGAAAAACTACCATTCGAATGGATAGAAGAATGAGCCAAAATGGCAAGGACTTTCAGCCCAACAATCAGCTCCAGAAGATCAAAGAAGGTCTAAAGTTCCCCTGTGAGTACTGTTACAATTAGGAAGACCGCCTATGTGAAGCAAAGCTTATCTGAAGAAGCCCCGCCGCATAGTCCCACTGTTGAAAAAAAAGACATGTGCTAAGAGGTTACAATTTGCTATAAGCACATTGACTGGCCTAAAGAGAAATGGAGCAAACATTTTTGTGACTGATGAAAGTAAGATTGTTTACTTTTTGGGTCCCTAGAGTGGCCGGAGACAAGTTGGTCAGACGACCCCCCCCAAACACTGAATTCAAGCCACAGTACACTGTGAAGACAGTGGAAGCATGGTGGCAAGCATCATGATATGGGGGTGTTTCCTCATACTACGGTGTTGGGCATCTAATTATCGCATACCAGGGATCATGGATCAGTTTTGAATACATCAGAATAATTGAAGAGGTCATGCTGCCTTATGCTGAAGAGGAAATGAGCCCATTGAAATGGGTGTTCCAACAAGACAATGACCCCAAACAACAACCATAAACGTCCAACATCTTGGTTCCAGACCAACAAGATTATATTATTTTATTATTATACAGTATTTATAAAGCGCCGATAGTTCGCTCAGCGCTGTACATTACAAAGGGGGACAGAACATGTGACAGAACAATACCAATACAATGCAAAACATAGGGGATCGAAGGGCCCTGCTTCTTTAGAGCTTACAATCTAGGAGGGAGGGGGTGGTGGCACAGGAGGAGATAGCTGTGGGGATGGATTTGGTAGGAAGAGTGGAGGAGGTCGCAAGTTAGCAGGGGGTGGGGGGTAGGCTTCCCTGAAAGATGGGTTTTCAGGGTGCGCCTAAAGGAGAGGAGAGTAGGTGATAATCTGATGGGTTGGGGCAGGGAGTTCCCAGAGGATGGGTGACACCCTGAGAAGTCCTGGAGCGGGCATGGGAGGAGGAGACCAGGGAACTAGAGAGAAGGAGGTCTTGTGAGGAGTGGAGTGTGCGTGCTGGGCGGATACTTGGATATTAGGTCAGTGATGTAGCTCGGGCAGTATGGTAGGACAGCTTTGTACGTCAGCGTTAGGATTTTGAATTTGTTCCGTTGCGCAATCGGAAGCCAGTGGAGGGATTGGCAGAGGGGGGTGGCGGAGACAGAGCGGTTGGAAAGGTGAATGAGCTGGCAGCCGTATTCAGGATCGACTGAAGCGGGGATAGCCAGCGGCGAGGCAGGCCAGTGAGGAGGGAGTTGCAGTAGTCGAGTCGTGATATGATGAGGGAGTGGATGAGCGCTGTTTTAGTGGTTTCTGGGTTAGGAACGTGCGGATTTTAGCGATGTTGCGGAGGGTGGAGTCTGCACGAGTTTGTTAAAGATTGGACTTGGGGCTGGAAGGATAGGTTGGAGTCCAGAATGACACCAGTACTCTGGCCTGCAGGGCGGGTTTGATGGTAGCGTTGTTGGATGTGACGGAGAAATCAATGGGTGGTGGTGTCCGGGCTGGGGGAAGACAAGAAACTCGGTTTTGGAGAGGTTCAATTTAAGGAAGTGGAGCGACATCCAGTCTGATATGTCGCTCAGTAGGTGTGTGATTCGGGCTGAGACCAAGGGGGTGAGGTGGGGGGTTGAGAGATAGATTTGTGTGTCGTCAGCATAGAGGTGGTAGTTGAAGCTGTGAGAGTGTATGAGTTGGCCAAGGGAGGAGGTATAGATGGAGAAGAGAAGGGGCCCGAGGACAGAGCCTTGAGGGACCCCAACAGAGAGGGGGAGTGAGGGGGAGGTGGTAGCATTTATAGGTAACGCTGAAGGAGCGTTGTGACAGGTAGGATGAGAGAGCCAGGAGAGAGCAGAATCTCTGAGGCCGAGGGAGTGTAGTTTTTTGAGGAGGAGGGGGTGGTCGACTGTGTCGAAG